TCTGCATCCGTAACTTCTCAGAAAACCAGCAATACTATTTGCCAGCCCTGACTTAAACTCCCTTATATCTCAGCACCATGAGGAATAAAATAGAGTTTGGTTTTCCTAGCCCAAAACCTTCATCACCTGCTGCTCTCTGGGTTATTTCACACCCACAGGCTGAACTTACAGAAACAGATTAAAAATAATAGATCTGAACCATTCTTACCGGTTTACAACTATAAAAATGATGAGATTACCAAAATTTCCCGAGCTTTTTAATGTACTTGTGCAAGAAATTCTACATAAGGTTTGGCAAACTAGGAGAGAAGAAATAATGTTTACGAGCGAGAGAACAGGAATACCCAAGATTTTTAGATGGAGAAATAGATACGCTGGCCTTTATTAACCCAAAGATGCAAGGGTCAACCGTGGATGGGACAGGTTGCAGAAACCTGTCCAAGCAAGTGGTCAACATCTGGAGCGATGCTGTACTTGGAATCTCCTTCCCTCTCATGTAAAGAGTACATGAACCGAGGTTTGTGGCCAGAGTACTCATGCCTAAGATTCGCAAAAATGGGTACCTGCTGCGGGTGGGGAATAGGGAGCCACTGCTAGGTTTTGCAGCCTTCTGGCTCTACTACTCCTAGAGCATAAATATTTGCAAATTCAAACACATTCTTTCAAACTGAGCTTCACTTTCTCCTTCTGGATTCTTCCACGGTTACTGAACCTCAACAGCCATCCTCCTCTATGAGATGCCAGTCCCTTGTCTTTGTAAAGCTGCCATATCAAATATCAAAAACTGGAACATAATCCTGGGAAATTCAATATGATGGGTTTGCACTTTCTCCAGCGATGGGGGTTGTTTATTAATACAGTAGCTCAGCATTATACGGGCTCTAATGTTATTGCACCGGTAAAAGGGTGGGGGATGGAATCCTAGGAAACTGGACAGCTTATGAAATAGGCACAAACCTTTCGAAGTGTGAAGAAGGTCAGTAACGCACAATTAAGGAATGAAAAGGGAACCTGGCAGTCTTGGGATCTCTCTAGCTTTCCAAATAGATCTTGCTGTTAGTTATATAGCAAAGATTGTTTAATAGAAGTTTTGTTTCACAGTTGTAGAGCCACTGCAGTGAAGAAAATTCAGGTCATTTGTTGGCGTGTGGGAGGAATAAAAAGAAACCCAGCATATCCTATTTTTCTTTTAAGGCTATCCCCCAAATCACCTCTGAAGGTACAATCTTTTAAAAAGTAAATGCAAGAAAAGGGCAAAAGTATGACTTTATCAGAGACAGAGAGTCAAAACAAGGACTCTTGGACATCCAATACTGACACCAGAGAGATGTAATAAAATATACCCATCTAGCTGTGTTGGGTTAAAAAAAAAAGGATGGGTTCTTTTGAGCTAGAGAATGGGGCTGGAAAACAAGAGATTTCTTTTTTAGTTTGTGACTGCCTATATTTGTGCAGTTCTGGAACAGGTTTCCTGAGGTTGTCCCAGCCTTTTCCTTCCTGTGCTCTGCTCTGCTCTGCTCTGCTAGAGGAACAGAACTGTTGCAGTGATTTCTGAACACTGGCAGTCTGGAAGTAGACGCGTCTATTGTGACCTGCAGGTCTTTATTCAGTTTCTATCCCACCCGCAGCCACCACGGCTGTCCCCCTGCCACTCAGCTTCCCAGCATCCCCGAGAGGTGGGTTGGATTCAGGGATGGGCCCATCTCGCACTCTCACTGGGGCCCATCCGGGGGTATTTAATCCGTGGTGGTGCAGAGTGGCTGGCTAACCATGGCAAGAGCTTGTATCCTGGGGCACAGTGAGCAGGGGCACATGCCACAACTCGCTGTGCCCAGTGGCCACGGTGGCAGGGAATTGTGGGAGCAGTGGCCTATCACGTCGGCAACACCCCCGGTTAGCAAATGTCAGCGATGACAATTCCCCACCAGCTCTTACGCAGTTTAGTATTCTTGGTGATGCTCAAATAAGGCACACCAAAGTCATGAAGCAGGACCAGAGGGTAGATTTGGGGTACCATTCAGGGCATTCAGAGGAGGGTATAGAGAGAGCTGACCCTCAAGGTGCGATCTTCTAGGGCAATTCCTGCCCGGAGTCTGCCCGCAGGAATTAGGATGTTCCACCCTAAGAACTCATTTTCTGGTCACTTGAGTGAAAAACATGGAGAACTTCCCTGAGGACTGTTTTCCATGTCAATTAGTGGGAGGAGATGCCATTTGAATTTTTTCCCTGCAGCAGTTTTAAGCCAGCCCTTAGTAGCTTCCTTAGAATAAGGCCCTTCAAACAACTCCCCAGATGCATAAAGTGTAAATGGAAAGTCTGGACAGAAAAGCAACAAAACCAACCCAAGTGGTGCTTGTCCGTATCTCTGGGTGTGATCCATGCATGAATGTTGCATGTGAAGGGAGCGACTCCAAGGATCTAAGCTATAATAAGCCATTCTGGTTGGGATTAGGAACGACCAAATGTTACTTCCTAATGTATTTCTTTTACTTTTCCAAATTATCTTCTGCTGGGCTAAGCACCAAGAGAAGATGCCCTGTATTGCAAAGCTGCATTGCATTGCAAAGCCGTGCATTGGCTTAGAAGGTCAGATTCTGCATTTGTAAGGGGGTGATGGCCAGAAGCAGAAAGTCACCCTTCTGGTGGCTTATTAGGAAAAAAATATGTCAAACAAAACTTCTCTGTGTGTAGACACATCACACAATTTTCTGGATTCTTGAGAGTATGTTGATTCCTTTAATTTCCTTAAAATTTGTTGTTGGCCAAAACAGTATTGTTCCGTCACTTAGAAAAAAAGAGAGGACATTTTTAATTTAAAGTTTGCATGGCATACAGGTAATTATTCTGAATGTTGCTGTTTTAAAGGGAGCATTCCGGAGCATTGGTGATCTCTACAGATGCATAAGTGAGCCATTTCCACGATGTGCCAAAGTCCAGTTGCAAACCAATCCCACCCGCTTTAGGGTGGCCAGGGGACGCGGACTGAGCAACCAAGTTAGGAGCCGCATTTCGTTCTGTGCAAAGTGCATGTACTCAGAATTTTACCCCACCAGGTTCAAGAGGCCACCTCACCCCCTCAGCCGGAGAGCAGTCGCCTTATTTCTTTCACTATTGATGCATTTCTGACATTTGTGTGCACCTGTTTCATTCTCCGCCCTGATTTTGCGCAACGGGTGAGCTGCAGGTCAACATGCCCGGGGTGCGCCGGGCTAGGCGAGCGCAGGCGAGCCGGGCGGAGGCCTGGCGCCCATCCCAGGGCTGAGACCCCCGGACCACAAGATGCGGCGCGGCAAGGAAGGGCAGCCTTGAGCAGCCGAGAAGGCGCTGCCGGCCGGAGGCTGGGGCGCGTGCAGGGAGCGCCCGAGCAGTGCCGTTAGCTGCTGCTGCTGCTGCTGCTCCGCCGCCCCCGGTTGCCCGGGCGGACTGAATGCAGGCAGGTCGCCAAAGGGGCCCCGCTCCGGGAGCGCCCCGCACTCGCGGCCCGCCAAGGCCGCTCCCCGCTTGCGCTGCACGGCGCTCTGCGGCTCGCGAGCCCGGCTGCGGCGCGGGGCGAACGGGGGCCGAGGCCCCGGGGCCGCCCCGCGCGTGCAGGAAGCCCCCCGCCCCGCGCAGCGCAGCGCCGCCCGCCCGCCGGCCGGCTGGGCTCAGCGGGCCGAGCCGACGCGCCCTCCCACGCCTTCCCGGCCTCCCTCCTCCCCCGGCCTCTGATAGGCTCGCCCGATCCAGGAAACTCCGTGCCCCAGTCACCGCCGGGGTCCGCAGCGCGAACCAACGCGCCGGAGCGCGCAGGGGGAGCCGAGGCGGGCCGAGCGGTGCCTCCCGGCGCTGCGAGGGGCGCTTTCCCGGCACCCGGGGCGAGGCGGAGCGGCCCCGTTGCAGCGCGGCTGCGCTCCTGCACTCGAATCATAATTAGCGTGCTTCCGAGGCAGAGCAAACCACAAAGCAAGGGAAGGAAGGGCAGCAGCGGGAAAGCAGGGAAGGCTGCGAGCCTTGCAAAACTTCACCCCCCCCCCACCGCGCTCGCCTGCAAAGTGGCTTTAAAATCGCAGCGAGGGCATGATGCGTATTATTGCAAAGTGTTAGGATGGGGAAGGCGTTGACCGCCTCCTCCCGTGGCGCGCACGATTTCTCCGGGGCGTCCGAACGGCACAAACGCGTCGCAACCCGTGCAAAACAAACAAGCGGGAGGGCGTTCGAGCGCCGCTGCAATCCTGGCTCCGGCTTCCTGTGCTCCCCCGGCGCTCCCACCCTCCTCCGCGGACTCCTTCCTCCCCCTCCAGGGAGGAGAGCGAATGGGCACTTCCCAGCGAGTCAGACATGTCCGCGCTCGGAGCTTGGGAAAGGCGGGGGGGCCGGCCGGCAGGCATGTAGCTGCGGAGACCCGGAGGAGCGGCGGAGCCGTCCCCGGCGCAGGGGCCGCTGCCGCCGAGCAGACACGGCCGGGGCCCGCCAGCCGTGCCTCGTCCCCCTTCCGTTCCGGGTGCACGCGCAAAAGGGGGAGGAGAGACCCGGCGACCCTCCCTCCCGCTTCCAGGTCATCCTCGCAGGCGCTGCCGCTGCTCTCCGCAGATGCTGGAGGAGCCGCCGGACTTTCAGCAAAGTTGACTCGCCCTTTCCCCGCTCCCCGCCTCTCCTCCTCCTCCTCTTCCTCCTCCCCGGGAGAATGCTGATTTGGGCAGCGGCGTGAGGAGGAGGAGGAGGAAGAAGCGCCGGCGCCGCCGCCGCGGGAGAGAAGTTTGGAGGGGCGCGCGGCGCGTCGGGCAGCAGCAGCAGCAGCGGCGGCGGGCGCCCCGGCAGCCGCCCTCCCGGCCCCGCGCCCGCACCCCGGGCTTCCCGAGAGGAAGAGCCGCGCGCCCGGCCCCTCCGCCCCCGGCGCCGCCGCCGCCGCCGCCCC